TGGCAGTCACTACAAAGTTCCCTAGGAACGAGGCTGGACATGAGTACAGCCCACCATCCTCTCACCGACGGACAAAGTGAGAGAACCATCCAAACACTGGAAGATATGTTGAGAGCCTGTGTGATCGAATTTGGGAAGGCATGGGATACTCACTTACCTCTTGTCAAATTTTCCTACAATAACAGTTATCACACGAGTATCAAGGCTGCTCCATTCGAAGCCTTAAAAGGCCGGAAGTGCATATCCCCTCTGTGTTGGGCTGAGGTGGGCGACACCCAGTTAGCTAAAGGTCGAGTTCCTAACAGCACTCTCACGGGTCCGGAGATCATTCGGGAAAAGACAGAGAAGATCGTTCAAATTCGAGAATGATTAAAAGCCTCTAGAGACCAACAGAAAAGCTACGCTGATAAACGAAGGAAACCGTTGGAATTCCAGGTGGGCGACCGTGTTCTATTGAAGGACTCACCCTAGAAGGGCTTGATATGCTTCGGAAAGCGTGGAAAGTTAAATCCAAGGTACATAGGGCCTTTCGATATTCTTGCTAGAATCAGCCCTGTAGCTTACAAACTCAATCTATCCAATGAACTTCGTAACGTACATTCTACATTTCACGTCTCTAACTTGAAAAAGTGTCTATCTAACGAGACTCTTGTAATCCCACTTGACGAGATCGAGATCAACGAGAGCCTCAACTTTGTGGAAGAAACTGTAGAGATCATGGACCGGGAGATCAAGCAAACGAAACAAAGTCATATCCCGATAGTGAAGGCTCGCTGGAACGCCAAGCGAGAACCTGAATTCACTTGGGAGCGATAGGATCAGATGAAACTGAAATATCCTTGTCTTTTTACTTAGTTATTTGTAACTACTTATTTTCTTAAACTCTAATTTTGGGACGAAATTCCTTCTAGGGGGGATGATGTGATAACCTGAAAATTCTATTTTGTACAACCATTCAATTCAATAGAAGTCAGAATAGTTTCTGCTAACTTTCAAGCTTTTTTGGATTAAGTTTGAGGGTTTTAAGTTTAGTACTTCACGAAATATCAGGAGAGAGGTTGCCCTAGGGTTTATTGTGCAACAATATTATTCCAAAACTCCAAGATTTTGGAGTTTACGGCCTAAAAAATGGTGTTTACGGCCATAAACCCTAATGTGGGGGTATATATATATATATATATATATATATATATAACACTTAGTCATTATTTGCCATTTTTCACTAAACCAAGATCCAAATCTCAAAACTCTCTCAAGTATCATCCAACAATTCTTCAAGATCTTCAACTTGTAAGTGTATCTAGTCCTAATAAGTTGATATATTACTTAATCTACTGATCTAACACACTTCCACCCGTGAAATCATTCCAAAAGGTTAGATCTTCAAGTTTCACCAAGAACAAACACTAGTGTTCTTGGACTTTTAGCACCTTTTCAAGCCTCTATCTTGTAAGTACTTCTATCCTAGAGTATCTTAAGGCTTTTTAAACTTCCATATATCACGAAATCACCCAAGAAACACCAAGATCAAGGTTTTTACGGTCCACGATGTTCTTGGACCGTAAACCCTAATTTGAGTGCCAAAGTGTGACCTAGTCCCTAATAAGCCTTGGAAACTTGCTTAGATCCCTTCCTTGATGAGTTAAGGGCTTTAAAACATCAAAAGACCATAAAACATATGGGTTTACGGTCGTAAACCCAAAGGAAAATGGTCTAAGGACTGTAACTCCATTTAGGAGTGAAATGGTGCCCTAATCCCTTCCATATGCTTATGCTTCAAGAAGAAATGTTTCTAAGGACTTGTAGAGCTTCAAAACAACACATGGTCAAAGGGGCATGAGATTATGGTTGTAAACTCAATGAGTAATGGTCATAAAACCGTAAACTCCAATAAGGGGTTTTCCTTGAACCCTAAACTCAATAGTAATGTCCTACAACCCTAAGATGCAATCCTTATGACTTATAGCACTTATAAAAGGTGTTTTACATGTCTTAGGATGTATTAACTTTGTTAATTATTTGTTTAAAAGACTAATTGGATACATATATGTGTTATTATATGTTAACTGGATCATTAAGTGTGTACAAGTCTTCACTTGACACTTAGCATCCTATACAGTCCGTTCATCCAAACCACTCACTACAGGTGAGTTCATACCCCTTAATTAACCTTTGAAATGCTTTTAATTGTTTTAAATGCTTTATGGGGAGCGGGGAATACAAGTTGAACCATGTTAGTTATTAGATCAATCTCATGTGATTAATAACTAACATGCAAATGGATTTTTCATGTTTTAAACTCTTTTACCAAAGAAATGACTTCAAACTGTTTATCAAACTATATTACATGTCAAACTCTTCATAAAATTCACTTTTGTATAATAAACCTTTCCTTTATAGTTTTTAAACTTATATATTGTTAAAACCATGTCTAGCTACTACATATATAGTTATATAAATAAGGTTTGAAGGACTTAGGAGAGATAACCCACTTTACATCATGTCCTTGTTTGGTTGTTGTCTTAAAGTACCCGGTTGTTTGTCCCAGTGGCGTTGAACCCTTACTTAGATATTATGTATATATGTATATATATAAAGACTTTTATCTCAGTTCAGTACATTCAATCATTCAACAAATTTACTAATAAACTATAATATGTATAGTTTAGAGTTATACTACTTACTACTTCTAGTTTAATGAAGCATACAAGTGTCAGTTCATTCATGAGTCATTACTTATTACTATGAGAACATATACAACTATACTAGAATGAGAACATATACAACTATACTAGAATGAGAGCATATACAACGATACTATGGTGAGTAACAATACATTACATATACAAGAATACGTTAACTTAAATGTGATCCACTGTATCGGAGCATGGCTTCATTGTCATGGCCCGAGTTGTAGTTAGAATCTTTTGGAGGGAGAGCGTGAGTTTGCATATAGATCTATACTGGATGGACTATCCTACACCTTACTGGTAGCTACAGTCGGACCTGCAGGACTGCGGGTGCTAAACGTCATACCTTTTTACGACTTACAATGTCGTGTTTTCCGTCGATAGTATGGTACAATTAATCACATAATACCTTGATATAAATTCGGTTTAAGGTAGATAGTACATCAGTAGTTCCTATAATTCAAAATTACAGTACTACATTAATTTACCCTTTACATTTATTTGGTGATCACTTCACTTAAACATTAATGTACAAGCTATATTTTGATAATGATAGTTACACTTGGGAAAATTACACACATTTACAAGTAACAAACATACAAAATGGTTATGCCTTGGTATAAGACTACTTTTAGTAGAAAATATAGGATTTTCTAGGAGTTTCAAACTTTTACAAATACGTACAAACATTCACACACTTTTACTACAAACGGTTACAAATTCACACTTTAAACATTTTGATACAAACATAGACACTAAATACTTATGAACTCACCAGCTTTAATGCTGATACTCGTTTTCAAAATAACTTGTATTCTCAGGTCATCAGTAGATAGGTACCAATGCTAGCTTTTGAGAAAATGGAGTGCATACAAGACTCCTCTTATATTTTGATTCATATTTTGGTGTCTTATATACTACAGAACACACTTGTATTAAAATTATTTATTTAATGCAATTGATGATGTTGTTTACTTGTTTACTATTATACTATGTTGTGATACTGTACATGACGTCCTCCGCCCCAGAACGTTTCTGCCGTTCTCGGTTTTGGGGTGTAACACAAACCATACTTAATATGATTTCAACTACCATGAAAGTGTCTACAAAATTGTCACTAAATTACGAATAAATGGAGTCAGAGGAAATAGCCACGTTATTTGTTATTTTCAACAAATATGCAAATGTAGTAAGTGGCAAATTGAAAGATGTCCATAATCACATGCTTTAGGAATATGTCACCTTAGTAAGGTTAACCTAATTTCCATTGTGAATACAGTTTACACAATTATGATGTATAAACACCAATATAATCATGGATTTTCACCACTTCCTCATATATTATTGGTTGGAGACTTATTAGGAAAGTAAAGGAGATTAGTAAAAATATTCGGTGGATCGAGGTTCGAGACGTGCAAATCGATTTTGTTAATAGGTGGATGTTAGTCATGCTCATGAACTTCGTATTTGTGGACCATGTTATTAATTTGGTCATTACATGAAAAACTATTCAAATTGTCAACCAAGATTTAATGTGAACTGATGTAAGATTTATTTTCCTATAATTATTTTATTTAATTTAATTTTGTGTTTAAATTGTCTTGAAATATCGTATTTAATTAACCTTGTATTTCTTTACATTGTAATATATTTGATTTGGTTGTCAATATTGATATACTTTTCCAATGCACTACAAAAAAAGCTAATCTTTAGCGGCGACAAAAGTCATCGCAATTGGTCATGTCGGTCGTCGGTAATACAATTAGTGACGACATGTCGTCACTAAAGCACCGCCGCAATTGGCTCGTAGCTAATAGCCCCTTGTCGTCTCTAATACTGTTGTCTCTAATAGAAGTCGTCCCTAATACACCTCTGTCGTCTCTAATAGTGTCGTCTCTATTAATATTCCGACAACCGGTAGGAGTTTTTCCGGCAATACTCATCGGGGGTCCTCGTCGTCTCAATTGATAGTAGTCGTCTCTAAAGGTGTCGCTGCTAATGTTTTTATTTATTTATTTATTTTTTTGAGAAAAAAATTATTTTTTATAATATTAATTTATATATATTATAAAATGCACTTTTGATAAAAATACATAAATAAATACATACCACATTATATAAAAAACATCAAACATACCATATTCCATAAACTATTTTCCAAACAAACATCAAACATACCATATCTAATAAATCTCAAACAAACATCTAACATATATCATACATAAACTATTTTCCAAATCCAAAATAACATCCTTCATATCATAAAACAAGAAATACTAGTTGTCTTCATCTTCCCCACTGTCCTCCCCATCATTGTTTTCCTCGTTGACTTGGTTTTTTAACGAACAAATAATGTCTCCAATGGCCGTCACAAATGCTAGGTTTTGAAGAAAAAGCATTCACATCAACATCCTACAATTAAGTCACAAACAAATTAAGTCATGAACAATTCAACAAACTATCAAACGATCAAAGCACCAAATCAATTAAGTCTTTCACAATTTAACAAACTACCGAGCTACCAAAAATTACTACAAATACATTAAGTTTTTAACAATATAACAAAGCAACCAAATTCTTTAAGAATTTAACAAGTACCTGTGTTGGTTGCAATGCTTGTGACTGTGACTGCCATTGGGATGGAACACTTGTACCCGCAACTGAAGAAGCTTTAGGCCCAATGCCTCTCACATGCTCTCTTCGAGTACACAATACCTTCTCAAATATTGTGATCCAATCAATGGTGTCTGGATCACCACTAGAGTCGGCTATGTGATGAGTCTGTAGAGCAACCTCAGCAACTAAGGTATTCTGTATTTCACAAGGATTGTTAATATACGTTAAAACTAACAAAAAAAATCAAAAATCTACTTTATTTTTAAGTAATAATAACTTACATATTGCTCATCAACCAAAGGATCAACAAATTCCCCTCTTTTATTTACATGCGCACGATGAAATACTGCAAGTCTATTCAAATTCTATTTAACATTACAAAATATGTTATATTTGAATAAACATTAAAAAATATGTTATAACTGAATAAACATTATTATAACTTATTTTCTTGAAACAAGCACTACCATAGCTGCACGTCTCTCCAAGATTCTTCACTACTTGCTTCTTCCGGCATTCTTTGTTTCCAGTGAATCGTTTTTTATGTTTTTCTGTTAAGAAATGGTCAATAGCTGCATTCCAACGCTGCGGATCCATACCCCTAGGGGCTTGAGCCCTTCCTGTCTCCACATTCCCTGCAAAATCATCAAAACGGTTTGTTGCAATATTTTTGCGGCCTCTATACCGCACACATATCCGGTTGTTCAGTGATGCCCAATAAGTTGAAGCCATGGGATGATTTGTAATCGCGTCAAAATCAAACCATCTCTACAAACAAAATAGAGAAATTAAAAATAAATAAAAATTAAAAAATATTAAATATATAACTTTATAAATAATTTACCGAAAGATACTGCAACATTCCAACCCTTCAACTTCAGAAACCTCTGTTCGTGTGTATTTATCAAAACCGATGTCCCGCCACATATAGCTCTCAACCTCCTGAATGAAACATTCGTACACCTCCCTAATCGGTAGGTTAGTATTTACGGCAAATAATATCTTAAGCGGCCGTTCACCGTTAGCTTTATAGAGTTTGTGCATTTTTTTATTTACCGCCATGCCTCTTCGTTTCGGAGGCACCACTGCATAAAAAAAAATATTAGTCAGAATAATTTTTTATATACATACAATGTGAAATACAATGAATTAGAATAAATCTTAATTACCATTGTTTTGGTGATCACCAAAACCTCCACCGAACGGATGTGGTGGCTCGTCACCACCGTCGCCTCCATGACCCATCACAGCAACCATGAGATGGAGCAATGCAATCCAAAAAAATGATATCCTGAAAAATTATAACACAATATATATATATATATATATATATATATATATATATATATATATATATACTAGCCGTTTACCCATGCCAAGCGACAGGTGTGACAATGGTGGTTGAATGCTGAAAGATGAATTAAACCCTAGAAATGGAAACGTCAGCGATATATATCCAAGATTTGTGAACAGAAATTGCGAGATTTGGGGAAATACGGAGATAAGGAATAAACCGGGTCAAAATAACGTAAGAATAGGGATAAGAGATTTGACCTTTTCAACTGTTGACCATATGTACTCTACTCTTTTTGTAATGTATAAATTGATTGTACAAATGCATTGTATGTTTGTACGACTTCAAATTCAGCATTTGACCAAAAATGCTTTATAAGGTAATTAAGATATATATATATATATATATATATATATATATATATATATATATATATATATATATATATATATATATATATATATATAGACACACACACACACAACAAATACAAACCTTATTTTACTAATTAAATGTAAAAAGATTTTTTTAATCATTCTCGCCCCAAACACTTCAGTGTCTGCCGATACATCACTATCATAATTAGAATCTTCCTCATCATAATCAGCTCGAAATCCTCACGATCTCTCTTAATACCAGCTTGTTGAGCAGCTACTTTACCCGGTGGACGAAACAATAGACGAGCATGTTACGCTTGTATTTCTTCTTACTAAACTGTCTTGGAGGACCTCTTGTCTCATGTTCGCCATTATAGTCCAAACATTTTCTCTATGGATGGTCAACATCTAAGAACCGACGATAACCAACATATACGACTTTATATGATACTTGGTATGATGGAGTGTCCTCGTTGCAAGTCGGACAAGCTTTGTACCCTTGTCCGCTCCAACCGGATAAACTACTATGAGCAGGAAAGTCGTTTATTGTCCATAACAAAATTGCTTTCATATTAAAGAATGTATTTGTTGATGCATCTTCAGTACGTACTCCAAAACTCCATAACTACTTCAACTCATCCACCAACGACCTAAGGAACACATCCAAGTCCTTCCCGGGTGCTTTGGGGCGGGGAATCAACAAGGTCAACTTGAAAGATGACTCTTTCATGCATAGTCATGGTGGAAGATTGTAAGTGGTGAGTATAACCGGCCACGTGCTGTGAGGATTACACATGTTACCAAACGGATTAAACCATCAGCAGCAAGCCCTAAACGTACGTTTCTAGGTTCCCTCGAGAAGTCATGATACTTCATATCAAATTTTTTCCATGAAGTACCATCAACGGGATGAATCATCATACCATCTTTGGATTGTTCGGTACTATGCGAAATCATATCTTTAGTTGTGTGTCTTGAACAGTACGAACGTTGTAGTCTAGGGGTTACGGGAAAGTATCGTAAAACCTTATGAGCCACCTTCTTACCCTTTGTATTTTCATCAACCCATCGACTCTCATTACAAACTGGACATTTTTGCAACAACTCGTGTTCTTTCTAGAAAAGAAAGCAGTCATTTTTACATACGTGTATTGACTCATAACCTAAGCCGATCTTTTTAAGTGTCTTTTTTGCTTCGTAATGTGAAGGGGGGGCTTGTTTCCTTCAGGAAATGCAGTTTGCAACAACTCAAGAAGCTGATCGAATGAACTATCAGTCCATTTGTTGATCACCTTGATATGCATCAGCTTTGCTAAAAAGTCAAGGGACTAAAACAAACATCCAGGATATAATTTGAACTGGACTTCCTCTACCATCTTTTGAAATCCATCATCAACACCTCTACCGTCTGTATCTGGGTTCCCCTCATTGCGGTTGGTATCATTTTCAATCACACCCCCATAACATCATCAATAACACCGCCCATCTCGTTACTACGTGGTATGTATCGACAACCGGGTGAGTTTTATTTTCACCGTGATTCTTCCATATAATATAATGTGGACTAAAACCATGTTGAGGTATATAGAATTTCATTATGGCTAGTAGTATAAATTTATTGACAGTACATTTGTTATACGGGCATCTAATTTGACCTTTGTTATCGACATGTGGTTTGGACCTCTCGAGAAAAGATTCGAGTCCTTATTGGAACAAGGTAGAGTTACGGTTTTCAATAGCAGTCCACGTTTTATCAATAGGCATGTTGTAACTGAAACATAAGTTAGGTTTTAGTGTTTACTCTACAAGAAGTAGAAGTTGGATTGAATATTTATAAGGATAGAGTAATCGCTCAATCACATGGAATAGCAAACCAGACAACAAGAGATTATTCACAAGGGTAGGCTTTTAAACCCACTTTTTGATTACCTTACCTCATATGCAAATGTGTATTACATGATTAATTGTATAAGAAAAATTCGATAACATTTCCTTTTAGCTCCTAAGTATATATAAAATTATATACCGAGGAGCAAAGAGAAAATAACAACCGAATAATTCTTAAACAATCAATCATGTAATACACATATGCATCCTAAATGAGATAAGGTATTCAAAAAGCAGTCCCAAAACGGGGACAACCCGAAATTAATTTCTAAATCAATTTCGGACGGGTATTTTAAGGCTTTTGATAATTTAAAAAGAAGAGGCTTAAACTAAAATTTTTTTTATTATAGCATGATACTTTAGATGATAGTATATATGTTTGTTATTTATATCAATTTTTTTTTTTTCATATTTTGATTTATCAACTTATTTTTGTTTTTATTTTTCTATTTTGAGTAATTATAACTTAGTAGATTTAGCGTTCTAATTTTTAATTTTTTTTAATATAACATTTTACTTTAAACGATATTATATGTTTCTTATTTATTTAATTAGTTTATTATGGTTTATTATTATTCTTCTTATTTTTCTTTTTTAAAACCTTTTTGCCCAATTTGATTTATCAACTTATTTTTGTTTTTATTTTTCTATTTTGAGTAATTATAACTTAGTAGATTTAGCGTTTTAATTTTTAATTTTTTTTTATTATAACATTTTACTTTAAACGATATTATATATTTGTTATTTATTTAATTAGTTTATTATGATTTATTATTATTATTCTTCTTTTTCTTTTTAAAACCTTTTTGACCAATTTGATTTATCAACATATTTTTGTTTTTATTTTTCTATTTTGAGTAATTATAACTTAGTAGAATTTCTTTAAAACCTTTTTAGTACTTTAAACAATTTTTCTATTTTGAATAATTCTAACTTTGATTTATTAATTTTGATTTATTTTTCTATTTTGAGTACTTAAACAATTTTATTTTATTTTTTTATTTTTCTTTTTAAAACAATTTTGACCAATTTTGATTTTCTTTTTAAAACAATTTTATATATTTGTTATTTATTTAATTAGTTTATTATGGTTTATTATTTTTCTTTTTCTTTTAAAAACTTTTTTGACCAATATTTCTTTATTATCTTATAGAAATTTTTTTATCTATTATGGTGTATATATTTTATGTTTTTAAGGTAGAATAAAAAATATTTCTAATAATCATATGAATATTCTTAAATTTTTCATATAAATTCACGCTTAACATACAATAGTTTCACATATATATACATCAACTTCACATATAAATTCATGAACTCATACATGAACATACATGATCAACAAGTGAAACATATCAATTTACGTATAAATTCATCAATTCTTACATTATCAACAAATGAAACATATCAAACTAATCAAACTACCATGTTCTTGCAGACAATAGTTTCTATACATTCAAACATATCAATTTTACATATACATTCAAACAAAGTTAACAATTTCAATCAATTTTACATATATATATATATTCAAACATGTTAAACATACAACATACATTCAAACAAGTGAAACAAATCAAAATAACCAAAGTCAAAATCAAAATCATATACATTCAATCTAACAGTTTCATGTCATACAGTTTCCATCAATTTTACATACAGTTTCCATGAATTAACAAAGTTAACAAGTTTCAATCACATAGATTCAATCAATTTTACATATACATTCAATTTAACAGTTTCCATGAATTATGAATTTCACACTTTCCAAATTTCAAAATCAAAATTGAATTTCACACTTTCCAAATTTCAAAGTCAAAATCAATTTCACAGTTTCCAAATTTCACAGTTTCATGAATTATGAATATCCATATACAATCAATATTAAGAACTGAAACAGATGAAACTAACCTCTTCTCTCCCGGAAAAACGTGAAATTGATTTTGACTGGAACGAAAAAAAAAAACACTTGAATATCCACATACAATGCGGTGGTGAAGCTGCAGTCATCGGTGTCTCCGACTGGAACGAGAAAAAAAAACACTTGAAATAGGAATTAATCGGTGGTTTTTATGTGTGTTAATAGAATAATTGAAAGAGAAATTGGTCTTGAAAACAAACCTCGTCGGAGATATGAACAGGAAATCGAAGTTCCTGTCGGAAATTTGGCGGCAGTTGGCTGAAGAGGTGGTGGGACTCGACTTTGGAGGCAAATCGGGGGTGGGAGTCGAGTTTGGAGCCCAATCACCGGTGGAAATCAGTGGCCGTCGCCGGAGATACTAACGATCGTTGTTCGAGTGCAATCAAACAAATGGGAGCAAATGGAGTCTAGTGAAGATGAACTGGAACTAAAAGGGAAGGGGCCATTAGCAGCGACAAGGGAAGGGGCCATTAGCGGCGACAAGGGGCCATTAGCAGTGACAAGCTGGAGGGAAATCATATGCGCGCTTTCTGGCGATTCCCAACCGTTGGATTGGGAAAGCATCGTAGGGCCAATATTTGGTCTAAGAATGGTCAACGTATCAACACATTTAGCGGCAACATCGCCGCTAAAAGAATCGTCTTTAATGCCTTATCACAGAAACAAACTCTATCCGTTGGATTATTTGCAGAACCAAGGGTGAGGATTGAAAGTAGCGTGTCTCCGACGGATAGCCGGTGGTGATCTTTAGCGACGACTCTATTAGTGACGACAACTGTGTTTTAGCGGCGACACCAAACGCGTCTACTCTAGTGTTGCCACTATTGCTCATGTCGTCGCAAAAAGCGACATCCCTAATATTCCAAATTCTTGTTGTGATGGTATAATTTACGAAAAGCAATACATAAATTTTAATTACATAATTTTAATAAATAAATTTATATATGACATATAATAGAGATCAAAGATAAGTATTTTTAATATAGAAAATGTAAATAGAAATGGTAAAATACTTAAAGGGTTGATATGTAAAATAAAAGATTGTGTCGTAAAAAGAATTATAAAATACCTGAAGGGTTGATATGTAAAACAAAAGATTCTATGAGAAGCGATTGTTGTTTGTTTTGGGGCCATTAAAATTTTGCAAGTCAAATCAACTCATTTGTGAAAATGATTTCTAAATCCCCATATTTGAAAAAGCTCTCCATGTGACATCAAATTTTGTTTCTGCAAGACAGCAAAACACTTATGGCAATTGAATATCGATAATTCGACATCAAAAAAATTTACATGATTATTAAGATTCATTTATTTCACACGATTTACCAATAACAAAAAAATAATTAAAAACACACAATCACAATAAAAAAAAACTAGAACACTAAATATTAAGCCCTAAATGATATAATTTCGGCTCTATAGCTGCCTGGCCACAATCATTATTAAAAACCCACAGTCAGGATGCATGTCCGACTTCCTTAATTTTTTACGCATTAAAAATCAGTCCGTTTGAAGCGAATCTACTTTCCTTTACAAATTGGTCAGTTATGTGGTCAACTCCTGCACCTAATGCACCAATTTCACCATTTAGAAGAGGACTTGGATCCAATGAAGCGTATGAAAGTAGCTCTTGATTCTTCTTTAAAATCTCCATCTCCGATTCATCCAAATTCACCCATGCTTCTATACCTTCACCACTTTTCGTGTCCATTAGTGTCACAAGATTCATGAACACTGGCGAGCCATCTCCTACGATACCTGTCACCCAACTCGGTTTTCCCCAACCAAAATCAATTTCATAGAAACCCATCCTGCACCAACTCGTAAAACCATAGTTATCTATGCCCCCTGTGGACCCACCCATTTCTTGTAAAGATTTCTGCATTGCAAAACACCCTTCATCACCTTGTGCTTTCTCCACAAACTCAGCGTCAACTTTCGAAATACTTTCACGCACCTTATTCACCAAACTGTGCAAAGGCGTCTCATCACTAGGGAGACTCACAGCATTTGAAATCCAAATCACGTTACCCATGAAGTTATTTGACAAGGTGGATTTAAGTTTGGACCGAAGATTCACAAAGTGTGATAAACTAGAAGGCTTCTGGATACCACTTGCTTCTTTAGTTGCATCCATTGCACACTTCCATATCAAACTAGATACAACCTCAACACGACTAGGGCGTTGCACACCGTTACTCTTTGCTCTGGCTCTCAATCTAGCGATAGCATCCGACCCGAATACAAACCTCTTTGTGGAACACTTGCCTTCCTTTAACAACGACCGACCCAAACCCATGAATATGTCTCTGAGCCATGATCCTTTTGCAGGGAAGAGAGATGGTGTGGTGAAGTTTGGATACTCGACTTCTTCAACTCCACGAGCCATGTTACTCCATGCTTTCAGAAACATGTACACAGAAGCCCCATCAACGATTCTGTGGGAAATACATAACCCAATGGCAATCCCACCACATTCAAAAATGTTGAGTTGCACGTTTGTTACCTGATTACCAACACTAGACTTGTCAAAGCTAGGTACAAATGGCAAAAAGCCATGGATCAAATGGTGATCAGGTTGCTTTAGAAATTCGTCGAGACGACACTGGACCGAAGCTACAATATAGTTAGCACCAATATCGTTACAATCAATAGAACCCTCGTTCTTGAGTGTTCCTGCAAGTGGGTAAAACTTAGTCAAGGTCTCAGATAAAGACTTCTTTAGAACCTGTGACTTTTGTAGGGCTTGATTGGAGTTGTCGCCATTGTTATTAGGGTAGTATATGATGAATGGTACATAAGGACTTAAAACAATCTGATCTAACGCAGAAAGATCGAATGTTTTCAAATGGGATGGTGTTGGGGAAGAGGGTTTGATGTTTTCTTTGGAAATGATTTTTGTTTCCATATCAGAAAATAATGGTTCGAAGTCTAGAATAGGTGAATAGAAGGATATGATAAAAGATATGCCAGAGCCTAAGCCATTTTATAGTGATTAGGTTTGATGACAGATGGGAGGCGGTAGGCAAATCGTGCACCTCGTGTATAGAATAAAAAACAAATAACTTTTTGTGGGTTTATAATCATATTGTATTGAACTTGTTTATTTATTAAATTTATTTTTTTGTGAAATTTATTTTTAATTCCTTATAAAATAAGAAGTGCTTCAAGTTTAAACAACACTTCATTTTTTCGGATTTTGTTTGCTTTTTGCTTTGACATATTGTCTCCATATCCCTTTGACATGATAATTAATTTATTAGTTGCTGTTATCAGCTATTAAAAACTACAACAGTTCTGACGGCCAAATCCGCCGGGAAACGTTAAAAACCGACACATTTCCAAGAAGACGAATTTCATCATAAAAGAAACATGGGAAAATATTTTTGACCGATTTTCAACGGAAATTGCAATATATTACCGACTAAATAAAAAGCAGGTATATATCTTGAAAGTGGAACATAAGTTTTATTATTATTATTATTATTATTATTATTATTATTATTATTATTATTATTATTATTATTGACTTTTCCCATGGAAACCCATCGAAAATTGGTATCGACAGAATTTCATAGTGAGTCTTCAGTTTACCTTCCTTCGGATTTCCAACGGAATGGGAGCTGATAGACATCCGACAGACTTTCTTTACCGACAGATATGTACGAAGTTTTTACCTAATTTCGTGAGGAAATTCATAACTAAGCCATCGGTAAAGTACATTCTTAATAGTTATTTAAAATACATATTTTTTCTACTCAAATAAATATATAATCTAGTTTTAGAAATTCAACTACAAATATTGTCCAACACATATTCCATAAACAAATGTTGCACTCCCGGCTGCAAATAACAATGGCGATCCCGTGGATATATGTTCTTCCTCAAACGAAATTTCAAGCATTATTAAAACTGGGAATGAAGTCGGATTCCAGATTGGAGAGGATAACACTGGAATCTTGGAAGATGTTTTGGAGATGGATGTTAATGGTGAAGGTGGTATTCATATATCCAAGGGAATTGAAGGTGTTGCACTCTCTCATCACGACCTTTCGAAGACTCACCTCATGAATTAATAATGCATGTATAATGTATTATCGTATGGAGACAGACAGTCGCAAGTATTCTAAACACGTCGGGGTCAGAGATTGGTGTAATAAGGTTCGTCGGAAGCGAAATCCTAGTGATAAATCGAAGCCCGTCACAACTTTTTACTTTACAAATCTACAAGCTGATGTAACCGTGGAAATGATAAGGAAGTCTTTTCAGTCCTTTGGGAAAATGGTAGACGTTTACATTCCAGGGAGGAAGGACAAAGGAGGTACGTTTTTCGCATTCATCAGATACGTAGGAATCAAAGATACCGAGTCTCTTGTGACGGCACTTAACCAAGTCAGATGTGGGCATAGTATAGCAAAGGTCAATATTGCAAGGTATGAGAAGAAGCCGCCCCCCAGGAAAATCCCCCCTCCAAGTTATTACCACCCTAGACGGATGTCGGTCCCAATCACTAAACATATCAACATTAGTAATGGGAAAACTTTTGCGGATGCTGTCACTGGGAGTCTTGGGAAACCTGATACTGTGAGAACCCAAGAGATTCAATCAAAGCTAGATCCCATGATTGATTCATCCGATAGCAGCTGCCTAATTGGAGAAATCAATTAATTAAGGCTCCTTAACAACATACATGCCCTCCTAAATGTTGAAGAGAGTATCCTAGCAAGAGTGCATTACGCAGGGGGACCGAAGATCATATTAAGATTCTTCCAACAAGGAAGAGCAAAGGCTGATTCCTAAAAATGGAGCAGTTGGATTAAATGGCTCAAAATTGGATTCGCAAATGACCAAACTAATGATAGGCTGGCAAGAATTAGGATATTAGGGATACTGCTTTTTCTATGATCTAATGAGAATATTACTGTAATTGCTTGTATGTTTGCGAAGGTAATTGAAGTAGAAGGTCATAATTGGCACTCGGTGGATCTCTCCTCATGCTATGGAACTATCCTTACAAATTCTTGGAAGCTCGTAAATGAAGAAGTGGTCACAACCTTCTGATGAGTTTTATACAAACAATCCTATGTGTGCCTGCAACCCTAGATTTGGATCTATGTTTTCTCTATTAGATACACAACTTTATGAACACAAGAAGAACCCTAGCATGTACCTAGGCATTTCGAAATCTATGTAGTAGAAGTGATTACATACCTCTTGTTGTTATATTGTAATAACAACACAAATCTTCAATGTCTTTGTCTTGAAAGCAAGTACCACAAGTGTAGTACATCTAATGACTCACAAACACCACAAGAAAATGAGGAGGCAAGAGAGAGATGGAAGAGGAAAAAATCAGCTCTAGGTCTTCTAGGGATCAAGTGGCTGATTTCCCTTAGCCAAGGGGTATTTATATAGGGTAGAGATTAGGGTTTCAGTCCTTATCCTTATCTGGTTACTTGCCCACCAAGCAGCCCATAAGATAAGCCTTGAATCCTTATCATGGATGAATTCTAAGGCCTTATCACCTTGAATTCGTCCACCCCTTCCTTAGGGCAACCAATGCCCTAATTTGAAACTATCACACAATTACAATTCAGCCGCTCTAGTTTAATTAATTACATATGATCACATAATTAATTCTTAATTAATTATTGACCAATATTAATTAAACAAATATGATTTCTCTTTTAATATATTATTCTTATAATATATTAATAAATCGTAATAACCTCTTTCTTTATTATTTCTCTAGTCAAGTTGCTTTGGTGAAGGCAACCCAAAAGGACCATGCACAACCGGGTCAAGTACTTACCAAATATGGTTATGGACTTAGACACTAACCCAACAGTCTCCCACTTGGATAAGTCTAGTAACCACAAATGTAAGTATAACTCGATTAGCAATTGTAGCTCTCAAAGACGCTGTCGAACTCTGATCTTATCAGCAACCTGTCCTTTAGATAAGGGATCGTACAATCCTCTATTTCAAATATTGTGTGGACAATCTTAATCAACATAGTCATATTCATTGTCCAGCAGCTTGTTTCTCGATCTCAGATTCATTTGACATAGAACTTAATTGAACACATCAATTTAGTCCTGACCGGGCCCGACACATAAGCAAAATTAAATCATCGAGGGGCCCTGATATCGCTTTTACCCTCTTAGGATAAAAAAATTCAGATAAACTTCGACTTATATGCATTTACTACTCACTGATCAAATTATACACAACAATGCGTTTTATGACATCAATTTACTGATGCGGTTTCACATTATCAATGCACAATCAATTAGCAAGCAATAAACCATATATCTTGGTTTTAAGACAATATGATATTATCATCTTGTGATTACTCGTGATAAATTCCATGAAGTGATTCCAGCAAGTGCGGGTTTATTCCAATTCAAAACTTATTTATAAGCACTCACGAACGTTGTAACAAACCTTTGTTATGTCTAATACCTTTCAAACAATCTACACACCAATTTATGACAGTCTTCACTCACACCTACTTCCAACATATGAACGACTGTGGACCGTTTGAATAATTCGATTATTCTCAATTAACTCAATTATTCAGGAAGTCAAAACATGCAAAGCAAAATAATACTTAACCAATAAACATAAGGCAGTAATTGTACTAATAAATAATACTCCTTTATTTAATCATCAAATGTCAATTACAATTATCTATTACACGTTTCTAAACTATCTAATCCAAACTAACATCGTCCTTCAGCCCAATGCTCCTAGCGTGCTGCAAATGCTTAACCTTACTCAGTCCCTTCGTAAGCGGATCTGCTGGGTTATCCCCTGATGATATCCTCTTAACTACGAGGAGTCCTTCTTCCACCTGATGTCTAATAAAGTCATATTTTCTGTCGATATGTTGAGATCTACCATGATCCCTCGATTCCTTGGTCACGACAACCTCTCCGTCATTATCACAGAAAATTTCCATAAGCTCCTTTATGGCAGGTACAACTCCAAGGTCTCCAATGAAGTTCTTCAACCATATTGCCTCCTTTGACGCTTCGCTCACTGCAATGTAATCTGATTCACACGTTGAATCAACTACGGTTTCTTGCTTGGAACTTTTCCAAGTCACTGCTCCTCCATTAAGGGTAAAGACCCAGCCTGAGCGTGAACGATAGTTGTCCCTGTTGGTCTGAAAACTGGCGTCACTATACCCTCGCACCTTTAAGTCATCACTCCCTCTGAGAACTAGAAACCATTCCTTGGTCCTCCGAAGATACTTAAGGATATTCTTGACTGCGGTCCAATGTGCTCTGCCAGGGTTCCATTGATATTTACTTCCATTGATATCTACTGACCATGCTCAAAGCGAAGGTCGCATCAGGGTGAGTACAAGTCATAGCATACATGATTGAGCCAACTGTAGAAGCGTAAGGTACTCGGCTCATCTCTGCTATCTTGGCTTCGGTACTCGGACTTTGAGTCTTACTCAAGTTGGCATTAATTTTGATCGGTAATTCTCCCTTCTTTGAGTTTTCCATACTAAAACATTTTAGTACCTTGTCCAAGTAAGTATTCTGACTAAGTCCTATTAGTCTCTTACTTTGGTTTCTCACTGTCTTTATTCCTAAAATATAGGAAGCCTCTCCGAGGTCCTTCATAGCGAAGCACTTCCCGAGCCAGGACTTAACTCCCTGCAGTGTCAAGATGTCGTTTCTATGAGTAATATTTCATTGACACACAATACGGCGAAGCTAACTATACTCTCACTGGCTTTGACATACACACATGATTCATCTTCTCTTTCTACAAATCCAAACTCTTTGACTTTCTCATCGAAGCAAAGATTCCATCTGCGAGATGCTTGTTTAAGTCCATAAATGGACTTCTCAAGCTTGCACACTCTATTGGGATGCTTCGTATCAACAAAACCCTCTGGTTGAGCCATGTAAACATCCTCAACCAACTTCCCATTAAGGAAAGCGGTTTTGACATCTATTTTCCATATTTCATAATCATGAAATGCAGCAATGGCTAGCATCACCCTAATAGACTTTATGTTAGCAACTAGTGAGAATGTCTCATCATAATCAACTCCGGGAGTTTGAGTAAAGCCCTTCGCAACCAATCGCGACTTATACGTGTGCACATTCCCATCCATGTCCGTCTTCTTCTTGAAGATCCACTTGCACCCAACTGTCTTACGTCCAGGAACATGGTCAACCAAATTCCAAACTTGGTTGTCATACATGGACTGAATCTCGCTGTCCATCGCCTCTTTCCATTTCCCAAACTCCGAGCCTACCATGGCTTCCTTATAGCTGTTAGGTTCATCTAGCTTTACTAGTGTACTATCACTAATATACGTGTCCCCTTCGGTAGTAATATGAAAACCATACAACTGGGGTTGAACTCTAACTCTTTTGGAACGTCTAAAGGTAAGGATTCGTCAATCGGTTCAACCGGAGTTCCCTCCTCGGGTTGAGCGCTAGCGTTAGAGGTTCCTTCATCGCTCGACTCTTGAATCTCTTCAAGATCGATTTGCTTCCCACTGTCCCCTTGGCTTATGAGTTCTCGCTATCGGAAAACCCCTCTCCTCGCAACTAAGACAACATTGTCACTCGGTCTGTAGAAGAGATATCCAAAGGATTTCTGCGGGTAACCGATGAACATACATCGATCACTATAAGGTTTGAGCTTGTCGTGAGTCTCTCATCTTATGAAAACCTCGCAACCCTAAACCTTGATATGTGCCAATGAGGGACTTTCCCTGTCCACATCTCGTGAGGTGTTTTGGTAACCTTCTTCGTATGGACTAAGTTAAGGATATGGGTGGAAGTCTCTAAGGCATACCCCCAGAATGAGATAAGTAGTGAAGCACGACTCATCATGGAATGAACCATGTCCAACAGGGTTCGATTACTCCTCTTAGCCACACCATTCAACTGCGGTGTCCTAGGCAGCGTCAATTGCGAAACTATTCCACATTCCTTGAGATAGTCGTGGAATTCAAGACTTAGGTACTCTCCTCCTCGATCGGATCGAAACATATTGATTTTCATGCCCAATTGATTCTCCACTTCTTGTTTAAACTCTTTGAAATTTTCAAAGGTTTATGACTTGTGCTTGATTAAGTAAATATACAAATATCTACTATAATCATCGGTGAAAGTCACACAGAAGCGGTTCGCATCCCTTATGGTGGATCGAAAGGGCCCACACACATCGGTGTGTATGAGATCCAATAAACTCTCACTCTTTTCACAAGTGCTAGTGAAAGGTGACTTGGTTATCTTTCTAAGTAAACAAGACTCGCACATGCCATCATCCCTATGATCGAACGAATCCAACAGTCCATCCTTTTGGAGTTGGGCTATGCGTTTCTTGTGAACATGTAACAGCCCAAAATTCAGGTAACACTAATTAGCCCTTCATCTTTTATTATTTTTCATTTTTGGGCCTTTGTGTTGGGCGAGTACGCTGGGCGTACAAGGAGTACGATGCGTACTCACGCGCCTCATTTAAACGCGTCATCACTCGGGTACGCCAAGGTTACACCAGGCGTAACCGGTCTAGACCCAAAACCCTAATTTGGGTTGTTGGCTATAAAAGGAATCAAATGGCTTGGTTCCTCAGCCACCATCCTTCAGAAAGAAACCCTAAGAGAGTTCTTCCTTAATTCATAACTT